ACATATAAGGTGGCAGACGTAATTTAATGAATTTTAACTCAACAATAACTGAATGAGTTTGTCTCACTCTTAGACCAGCAGGGGTACCAAATCTATGCAGACTGCTGCAATAAGTACATTAATTAACTGTCTCATTGATGTTTGTCTGAATGAATATGATACTATTAACAATCATATTATTCCTGTCAGCTGTCAATCACTGTTAATAAATAATAATAATAGATTTAATTTGTTAGCGTTTTTTACAGGTGCTCAAAGACGCTTTACAGATATAGTGAAGAACTGTTATGATTCACATATTCATTTATTATTGAATAAACTATATTTTTTGGAGGAGTTAATGATGAATGTTCATCAAGATGCTTGCTCGCCCTCCTTCAAATTTGAAAACAAGTAATTATATCATTATTGATATACAGTTACAACCTTGACTTTACATCAGAAAGAACAAACATTAAAGAAGTGACTAACTGCATCAGTTAGGGTTAAAAAACGTGTATTCAGCTAAAACATCGCTGCAGTTATTATCCAGTGGAAGGTCCTTACCTACTGGCCTAGTTAAATCAAAGTGGTTACTTTCTGTTGGCTGGGCAGTGTAGTTTTACACACCGTCTTATTTTACTTTCTCAGGACTTAAAACTGTTTTTTGGGGGCAGACCCCCTCAAAGAAAAAAAAATATACACGCATACAAGGTCATCACATCATCTTAACAGTTTGTTATTCTCATCGAGTCATCCGTGAGCAGAGCATCAAGTTGGCATGTCTATTACAGCTGAATGCGGCGATTACTATTTTGTTCAGCAAAACGCCTCACAAACTTATTAAGATCAACAGCCGTAGTGCGTTTTGATTCAATGCTGAGTACAGCCAAACTTGACATTCTCTTCACTGTCATTGTAGACCGCAACTACCTCATTCCTTCAGTGCTTGGGTCCGAATGCTTCTCGTTTTGCGCCGTCCCCCCGTTCAAGTGAATTCGCCACCAATCATATTTCCACTCTCGCGCCAGGATCGGGGGAGGGGTTACATGACGCGCATCTTGTGCTGCATTCACTTGCACTCGGACATTAGAGACTTTCTCTCATAAATGTCCGATGAGCCACAACTTTTCTTTCAAAACAAAGATGCCAACTGGGGTGGCAGCTGGGGTGGCAAGGCTATTGTTTAGGGTGGCAGTTGCCACCCCATGACACCCCATGCCACCCCGGTAGATCCGCCCCTGCTCTACATATCAAACATACCGGTAAACCAGCATCGTTTGCTGTGAAAGCATACAACTCTGTCCACACAGAATTAAATCCTGTGTTCCTCCGGTACTTTTCTTTGATTTATCCATAGTTCGCTCATCGAGCCGGGGGTCAGGTTATTCGCCTCCAAGAAAAGGCGCTCACGCGGGACCGTAGCGGGATGTGACGCATATTTTAGTTGACCTAATTAAAACCGTTTAGTTTTTTATTTATGTGTCACAGTATCACCTCAAAATACAAGATACGAAACATTTTCAACCATGCAACAAAATATAAATAGTCCTACAAATACTTTTATTTTATTTCCTTCTTATTTTTGTCTAAGCTCAAGGGAGCCAGAGCAGAGGGTTTAAAGGGCCGCATGCGGCCTGTGGGCCGCGGGTTGCCGACCCCTGGCATAGATGAATAATATGTGGATTACTGTTAGTGAAGCAACCCTGCAAACTCCAGGTGAACAGTGAAGGCTATTAGGACGTTCCTAAAACATGCAAATGTACTAAGATATTCTTAATAATAATATTAAAAAAAACTCTTATAGCTCCACTGATTGCAAATAAGTCTGATTGTGTTGATGCCTATGACCCCACTTCTTACTTAATGTATTACCTCAGTAAAAGTGATCCTGATTAGTTTATGGTCTCAACAAACAATTTCAAGTGTTATTTTAAACAGCATGATGTTCATTTTGTAATGGTGGTGCTATTTATAATAAAATCAACAAAAAAAGCTGGAGCTTTGATGGCAAACACTGACGGTTTATTTGGAGCTAAGGCCGGAGAATTCACTAGACATGTCACGGGCCATGATCTGACCACACGGATGAGATGCCAAATCAATTCTGAAGCACCCTCCTGTAGCTCGACAACGTTTTAACTAGTTCAGAGTGTAATAATCAACATTCTTCAATAGATAGACTAAACAGCTGAGGGACACTGAATGACATTTGTTGTCGCTTATGGCTCGGGGTCATCTACACCCCGAGAAGGATGTGTTCCAGGTGTCCCACAACAATAACTATCTCTGACCGAAGTTGCCTTGTTGTCATAAACTGGTAACAACAACAAAATGCTTGGGCAGCCCCTCCTTAAGGGAGATAGCGGCTGCCCAAGGCTGGGCATCTGCGTCAGAGGGCGAAAGATGACATGCAGGGGAAATTATTCCCTGACACTGTCCTTATAGGGAGGCTAGGGATCATCGTACCAAAATGTTAGTCTAGTATTGGCCCAAAATGTTATTTGTCTTTTAAATGACATAACAACTGGACCTACTTTTCTCAATTACAAAAATGACTCATAGTATCACTGTCTCTTTGCTGCAGGACGGTAAAGCAAATGATTTTCACTTTCACTAGATGTCACTTTACCCTGTTACATCTACAGTGTGTATGTGCCCAGTTTTGTTATCTAGATTTTGGGTTGGCAATGGCAGACCCTGGTTCAGCCGAATAATTTTTTTTTTGGCCAACTGCATTAGTTAAAACACCTGCTGCTAATATATCTGAAGTCTTTTTTTAGTTTCTATTGATTAAACAATGTTTATAGAGTATTGATATCAACACAAATAAAACATATTTATTCCAATTTTTATTTTATTAAGCTTTTCAGGCAAAGCGCTACTGTAGCATATAATGTATCTATGATACAATACCAATATCCAGAGTTACATCAGCTGGATGCCCCATTACTTTAGGAAAAACAAATGTATTAATGAGCCCCTTTGAGATATAATAAAATGATGTGTTATTAACTGTCTCACATTGTAATTAACCCCTGGATAATTAGTAAACCTCTTGTTGATAATAAGATTCCTTGTTGTTTGCTAATGAAGCATGTTGTCTAATAACACCCAAGGGAAGCTGTCACATGGGAGGCTGCATGTCACAATACATCTTGTAAACATTATATTCCTTAACTTTAATGGCTACGAGTGTTAATATATATAACATTTAAAAAGAATACGTTTAAAGTTGAGTTGAAGCATCACATGAAATAGTATTTGCTTTGTGTGTTTGTTTTCTCCATTCAACTGCCATGTTTTATAAGCAAGTCCACACTTTTCATTAATATGTCAAATGGCTCAATTAATTAAACATGTAATCCATATTCTAAAGCATTTTCTTGTTCGTTTATGTGTCCCAGGAGAAAGATTCTCATTGAAACACAGCGTTGAAGTGGTCACATCAGGCCTTTGGGAATATGGACCTTGTGGATGCGGACAAAAGAGCTGTAAGGACATTAGGACCTCAGTAAAGACACACCATCTCACCCAAGAGGAATGGTCATGATGGGCCCTTGATAATAATTGATTTTACCCTCTAATTATTTTCTCTGGTTTTTCTCCGGTTTGGCAGTTCAACAATTAGGTGAATCATAATCATGATTATTGGGTTCAGAGATAATTTCGCCTTACAGCAAAGTGATTGGGCCTTTCTTTTCAAAGTTAACACAGTCTTTTGATTCTTCAATTTCCCTACAACACACACATCGGTTATGTGAACTTTAAACTATGTTGTCCCTGAACGTATTAATACATTGTAACATGTTTACAATTGTAGTTTACAATGTTTGTAACTGTTTTCTTCTTCTTTTATAATGTCTTATGAATAATAATATCAAATGTTATTGATGTAGCCTTTTTTTTCAAAATAAGTTTGAAATTGCTTAAAACTTTTTATGTATTATAAAAAAGCAGGAATTCACACATCCAATATATAAAATAGGTGGAGGTTTTAAAGTGCTTTATAAATAAAGCTGTATTGTATTATTGTATTGTATTGGGGAAAGGCCTCAGTCAGGGCCCAGTGTTAAAGTTAAGTTAAAGCCTTTTATGTTCATTATACAAAAAATACAACGAGATTCCGAGTGCAACTCTGTCCCAGTGTGCAAAAACTCGACATACATAACATTAAAAACACGGCAGTAGGACAAACAACATAAGCAATCATACGGAATAGTTAAAAATATTGATATAAAAATAGTTTTTAATTTTTAAAGTGCTTTCAAAGTGTGTATATGTGTGAAGATGGTTACGGTTATTGCATTAAGTGTGGTGGCCCAGGGGTGTGTTAGTGTGTATGATTGGAAAGCTGCTTGTATATGAAGACTATGTTGCTTTAGACTCAAATTAAATTTAAACTTAATAGTTCCATCCGTACAAGGTGCCTAAGAGTCTCTAACAATGAGGTCATGTTACTCAAGTTGAATATAAAAGAGATCCAGTTTGAAGCTGCTGGGCTCTGATTCCCACCTCCACAGAGAAGGTACTATCATCTGTGAGAACAGATGCTGATACAACACTGGGCCTGCTTGGCTTTGCTTAGCGTCATTGTGGTGTAACATATAATGTCAATTTATAGGTCTTTACATTTGATGTACTTTATTTATTAGTTTCCATTACCACAAAACACATTTTGCTAAAATGGTTAAAGTATTTTTTGCAGGAAATGGACATTGAAATCAACTCTTGAGAAAGTAAGTATTGTCTTTAAATGCATAATGTTTTTAACTTTTCTATTGAATTAACCAACGTTATGTTTGATTTGTATTAGTGATTATTAGTATTTAATGTTGTACTCACATTGCACCGCTTGTTTCTTTTTTCTTTGTGTGTTTGGGATCAATAATCAATTGCAATGAGTAACAGAAGTATGCCTAATATATAACAATGCACATTATTTCGACCTACTGTATCACTATTAAAGCTTCTAACATGTTTTTTCTCTCTCATTTAGGTCTTTCATCAATTTAAACAGAATGGAAAGCAACAAGACAAGTGATATCATAGAGATCCAAGGCTTTGACATATCTCCAGGGTTCATCTACCCTCTATTTTTCTTACTGCTGTTTGTGTACCTAACCTTGCTCTTCTCTAACATTGGAGTCCTAGTGCTTATCATCACTGAGAAGAGTTTGCACCAGCCCATGTACATTCTCTTTTGTAACCTGTCCGTCAATGATCTAATAGGGAACACAGTGCTACTGCCTCAGCTGATGGCTCACATCATCTCAACAGAACGCTTCATCACCTACAACCAGTGTGTGGTCCAAGCCTTCTACAGCCACACGTTTGGATCAGCCTCACATATGATCCTGATTATTATGGCAATAGACAGATATGTGGCGATATGTCATCCTTTGAGGTACAGCTCAATCATGACTACCAAAACTTTGATTGCACTATCAGCCAGTGCTTGGGGGGTGTCCTTGGTGCTGGTGTCGGTTTTGATAGGTCTGACAGTGAGGCTCTCCCGTTGTAGTTCCTTTATTCAAAATGCTTACTGTGACAACGCATCACTCTTCAAGCTTTCTTGTGAGGATGTGTCCATCAACAATATTTATGGACTCTTCTTCACTGTGCTGCTTTTTGGTTGCTCAATGGGAGGTATTGCTGTCACATACTTTAGAATAGCTGTCATTTGCTGGGTCAAGAAAAACAAAGAGATGAGCAGCAGAGCACTTCAGACCTGTGCCAGCCACCTTGTTCTATATCTCATCATGCTCTGGTCAGGGTTTTTAACTATCATGTTGCATCGTTTCCCAAATTACCCAGATTTAAGGAAAATTGCTTACATTTTATTCCATGTGGTCCCTGCTAATTTAAATCCGATTATTTATGGGATGCAAACAAGGTCATTGCGTGAAAAGATTATTCAAATTCTGAAGTGACTCCAACCTAATCTGTCTTCTGTACTGTGCACACTTGTATCTGGAACATAATAATATTTATACATGTATATGCTTGTCTATCCTTCTGCATAAACGTATTTTGTATATCTCAGCAATCATAAACAAGGAAACATCTGTTACCAAAGTGAATGGTTACATATTTGCCCCGTTTGTTCACCATGTAAAGCGGCCTTGGGTCCCTTGAAAGGCACTTTACAAATATAATCTATTATTAATGTGGTTTATAGATGAATATTAATAGCAATTGGCTTTTTTTTACAACATGGGAATATAATGTATCCCTCATAAAGTGTGCCGACAGTAAAATGAGCGTCTACACTGGCCCCTGTGTGCAATTGCCCAGTGACAAGCTCTTTACCAACCTCTTCTGTCTTTATGCTTGTATAGCATGCAAATACTAAAACCACAATGTTCATTCTTGTCCCTAAACTGTTCATATAATAGGGATAATTAATGAGCATAACATTGTGTCTATTCATGTTTTTGTTTTCATTGAGTTTCAGGTATAATAGCAATGTTTCATGTAATCTAGATATTGACAGACATACATTGAAAATAAGATGTAAATACTGTGTGTTGGTGTATATTACAATACCTAATACTAAATACCTGTACTTATACTGGTATTTCGTATTGGGCCTTCCAAATTACAAAAAATGTTTCTTGGCCTGTTAATGCTGTAAAGACTAATTATATTTATCAACTTTTTTTAAACGGAATTTTACTCTTTCCATTTATAACAAAAAAGGCCCAAAAGAGGTAATATCAGTTGTTCTGCTGTCCAGTTCAGTTAAATCGTGAACGTTTTTTCCAAATCCAAAATGGTTTAAAACACAGTTCTGATGATTAAGCATTGTATCTCCCTTTGGTTTGAGATTATAGAGTTTTGCCAGATCAGATTAAAACGTATCAGTTTGAAGTACATGGTGCTGAAAGGGGATTAAACAGATAATCCATATAAGCTTTTTTGAGACATTGTTTTCTCCTGCTATGATTTTATGTACAGAAGCTTTCCTGGTGATATCTCTGAACATATTTACTATTCTGTAAAGTTGGGTAATTCTCTCCGATTCATGTCATGAGGGTAAAGTCACATTTTCCCCAATGAGGGCTTAATACAATACTTATTATTTTCGACCTCCTAAAGTCTTTTACAAATGTCAATTATTCTAACCTCAAACTATTTCATGTCTGGTGTGTTGTTTCGTTTCATCATTGTCATTTTGTACTGTATCAGTAAAAATATATAAATTGGTTTCAAAATTACTTTTTATCTTTTACCCTGCTTCTGAGACACACTTTCCATTACCCATAATGTAAATAAATAGAAAAAATATATTTTAATATCAGATGTATTTATCTGTTCATGTTGCTTTATAAATCCCTTGGCCTATTGTTTCAGAAACAAATAAATTAATGTATGGGGGACACAAATCAATATTTTATCATTTAGGTTAAAATCACAACATTGTGTAAATAGCGTCAGTAGAAAATGTGATTGATTTGCTACAATGGGACCTGGATTTGGGATTGCAAATTGTCAACAACAAAACTTATTTACAAAAATGTATTTAAGATATAATTCTACTTTTTTATGAATTAGGACTGCAGTAGGATGGATCACATGGTCTGAGGAAAAAGTGCAATCTGAATGTAAATTAAACTACTGCTAAGTACATTACTTAATGACTTATTATAAACTGTTATAATCTCTGTGTTGGGTACACCATAAACACTTTCATTAAGTCTAACGTCTTCAGTTAGATGGCTTTGCCCATGATGAGAAGGCTCATTAAAAACACCATAATGAAAAATATCCACATGAAAAAGCGATCTAAAACTTTGGCTACTTTCTTCCACTCCCCAGTCCTTTTCTGTGTCGCCCTCTGATCCCTGTAACAGTTGGCTATGTACTCGATGTTACGCATTAGTTGCGTCTCGTTGCTTTGACTGTTGCAGGAAACCTCTCTGTCTTTTCTCTCTCCATCACTCACACCCCCCTTCCGGCATCTCCTCTGACCCTGGGAATCTCCACAGTCCATGCTCATGAAAATACCATTCTTCCAAGTGCAGTAGTGGTTGGTTGGGTTTTTCCCGATGGAGCCACCTGGGCTCATCATCTGATCCATGTCCTCCCTCTCCTCTGTGGTCATGGAGCCCACTGTCTCTTGTCCTCTGTCCAGTTTGCAGACACACTCCTCTCTGCCTGGTCCTGCCTGACCATTCATGGTGCAGTTGGTGTTCTTTACATGTGGAGGCTCCTGCTTCTCGGGCTGTGGTGACAAGCAGTTCTCCCCAACCTCATAAACAAAGCACATTCTGGCCAAGTACTGCAGAATGACCTTCTTGGCCCACTTGGGAACAGGCTTGGCATCCGGGCCACAATGGTGTATGTTCATGATGAAGATGGTCAGGGCAGTGGAGGCAGTGATCATGGTCATCGTTGCAATGTAGTACTTTCCTGTGGATGAAAAAGAGGACATCAACATAGAGTTCTAATGCATCTTAATCACACATGTTTGGATTTGTATTACCCTCACCAATAAGTGGCACATTCTCAGAGGGTGGCATGATCTCTGCCACCAACAGCTGAAAGACAGTCAGTGCCAGCATAACAGTGACACCCAAAGACACCTTCTCTCCAGAATCAGCAGGCAGGTAAAAGCCCAGTGGAGCCAGAAAAGAGATCATTACACATGGTATAAGGAGGTTAAAGACATAAAATGAAGCTCTTCTCTGTAGTTTCAGTGTGTAGGTCACATCAGGGTAAGGATCAGCACAGCAGCCATACTGAATAATGTTCTTCTTGGCCGGCATACCCAACACCTCCCATTCCACATTATCCACCAGGTCGGCCAGGTCAGCGCTCTCCATGGCATTCAGGATGTCCACCTGGTTGCCGTTGTATGTCCAGGAGCCATATGTGAACCTGCACTGCTGAGAATCGAAGGGGAAGTATGACACGTCCACTTTGCAGGAGCTCTTTGTGATAGCTGGGGAATCCCACATGATCTGGCCATCATGCCGGATCACTACATTGGTGTCCATGGAGCCTTTGAAATGGTCATCAGCACTGGAAAAACAAAGAAAACATTGAGTATCATACCAAGAGAAAATGTATTTGTCCATACCATGACAACTAAATAAAAAAGGAGCAGTTGTGATGTCCTCAGTAGGTCGAGACAACTTGAAAGGTTGATCAGAATACAAAGGCACAAGTACACCAACTGAGGGAAGAGTCAACACATTTATGAGAGTTGTACTCATTGCTCAGTGTTTGTGTCTGCTTTTCATATCTTTTGATTAATGCTAAGTGTTTGTGTTTATGTGTGTCAGCATTTGATTTGAAGTGTTCATAGTGTGAGCTGTTATCCTGAAATGTCATCAGAGGCATAGGAGTTATTGCGCACTGGCCTCACAAATACTCAGGTGATTATTCCTTCCTCTTTGTCAAACATATGGTACCTCTGTCTTAATTGTAAAGTTGACATTGCCTTTGTATAAAAAGCAGACAAAGGCCTGGACACTCCTGTCAATAATGGCTTCAAGGAGTGTTCAGCTTGTGCCTTTTATACCAACCAAAAGGAGCCACTCTGATTAACCCAATACCAATCCGACCTACTTGTTATATAGGACAATATCAGGTCTCCATACATAACTACCAGGTATGCGGATGGTATCGAGTCCATCGTAATCATCTTTATTCCATTGAACGTGTGAATCAACCCACACTTGACGTATCCATAAATACGCAGTCAGAATTTGGTTTCGCTCATCCTGTAAAACATTGAAATTAATAGAAAACAATTGACAACAACAGGGGAAAGAGTGCAGGTTGAACAGAAATATATATATTTTTTTAAATATGTAATGATTTTGTGGGTATCTGTATAACACATTAGGGCTGCACAATATTGGAAAAAACTGACATTGCGATATTTTCTTCCCCTGCGATATATATTGCGATATGAAAAAATACAGGAATTGAAGAAAAGACAGTTGTTTTTGTCCGCAAACCATCCTTTCTTGAACTTTAATGCTATACAATTGGTATTTTTTTAACAATATTTAACCGGATGAAGGATTTTAGTCACGGACTTCTGGATCTTAAGTTATCAGAGCAACAAGCTGAGCTAGCTCGGTTATCTTTCTGTGATCTGATCAAGAATGGTTGTGATTGGTGGTTTGATGTGCATGCAGAGCCTGCATGTCACTCACTCAAGTACCCCTGACATGAGAGCCACGCAAGTTTTCCTTTTGTAGCAAGCAGCAAAATAATTGTAACATGACGTGTTTGAGTTCATTTGCCTACTTAATATCGCAAGTCCTAAAAAAATCAATAAAATTAAATAAATCGATATCAAAATCGCGCATGCGCATAACGCAATTATCGTCACGACACGATATATCGTGCAGCCCTATAACACATACAATCTGGTGGAGACTTGTGCACTGTGGTGTGTTACCATGTCGATAATTTGTGATAGTGTGATCTGCAGGGTCACATTCAGTATGGTGTTAGTGTCATTCACAGGCCTGAGTGCACTAGTGTAGTTTGTGAATAAATCATTCAGGAGCTTCTGGGCGTATTTTCCCTGAGCACACCAACAGGCTAAAACAAAAAGAGAAACAATTGATGATTAGATGTATATCGCCACAAAGCACCTGTTGTATTTAATATTATTTTTCAGGTAAAAATGTGTTCTCTAACACAACGTTCGGATGTGATCATTTTTTCATCATTCAATTTCTGGCCAGTGATAATCTGAATAAATGAAACGATATGGATGCTGAGGAGGGTACATGTTGAGAGAAAATGTGAATCCATGACAGATGGTGAAGGGGACAAAGAGCGATGTCAAGCTAGATCGCCCTCTCTATTAAGCTCTACAGCTCTACAGAGAGATCAGGCAAATCTGCCATTAAGCAGCAGTAAGTTGTTGTCAGTTTGAATTGTGTATATTTTGCATGTATTGATT